TAATTCACAAAATTGATGCTGAAGGTGAGATGTTATGTCTGCAGGGTAAAGAGAGATTTTTCACACTGTATTTTACATGTAATGTGTAAACTGTGGATTAAAATGTTTATTTAGGGTTTTTTTCTAGTTAAATGATAGTGCAGGGAGGGAATTCAGAGAGACAAAGCCACATTAATTTACCTGTCTGCTTTGAAAGAGTGGCATCTGCTAAACTTAGGCATTCTCTCTGTTTTATTTCTAGATGATGGCTGAGCTGAGAAGCTTATGAAGCTTACATGAAATATCCTATAGCTACTTCTGCTGGTGGGTACTAGCCCAGATGAAATAAGCATGTCCTAAGATGGCCACAGATCTCGAGCATGAACCAGTCTATGGAAGTGAGTTGATCCCAGATTTGTTAGTGTCTCAGTGGCTTGATGGCTCTCACTTTGTTTCTAAACCAAAGCCATCGTTCTACCCAAGCAATAAAGGGACAGTGCACAGTCTGACTGCAGAATGCCATTCCCAAAGAAGTGAACTGTGAAGAAAGGACTCATGAATTTTGATCACGGGGTCTTGGAGAGCATCTCTGGTAAGTTGAAGAATTAACTGTTACAAATCCTGAATGTATCTAACATGTTATAGAACACCAACCTGAAGACAACCTTACCTTTCACATTTTTTGTATTGCTTATCTAATGTTTCAAATGAACAAAAATGGTGAGTCCTCTTAAACTAACTTGTAAAATCAGCTTCTGCTGTAAAATGTCTTTCCTAAAATTCTCGGTGTCATTAATCAACATGGGCATTTTTTCCACTGAAAGATACTGAAGAAAAGTCTTCATCTTTAGTGGAAATGTTGTAAAGACAGTCATTGTATACCTTTGATATGCAGTATTTTAGCAACTTAGAATTCATGTTCCTATTTTTTGCAATAATTGTGAGGAGGTTAAGGAAAGGTGGGACAAGGCAGGAATAGCTAACTTTTCTTTCCAGGATTTTGGGTATTGTGCTTCTCAGAGCATGATTCCATGTGGATGATAATGAAATTTTATGTTTGTTCCCTGATTTTAAGGCAGTAGTCAGTTGGGTGGGTTTGTAGTTACTTTAAGATTATTTACATCTATGTTCATTAGCAAACAAAGGGATAAACAGAAGAACAAGAAAAATGTGAATTTCCTTCAGAAAACGGAAGTGTAGCTATGCTAAAATCAATGAAATCTTACAAAATAGCTGGTAAAATGTAGGTCTGTATTTTGGCTCAACAAAGTGGAAAAGATAGAAATTGAAACTAATTTTCAGAAAATGGAAGTGTAACTATACTAAAATCAACGAAATCTTACAAAATCAACAGCTGGTAAAATGTAGGTCTGTATTTTGGCTCAACAAAGTGGAAAAGATAGAAATTGAAACTAATTATATACATCATATTTGGGAAGTCAGAGGGGATCATGACTAGACCAGCTTTCCAGGAAGTTGTGGAGTCAGCTGGGGTTGAGGAACTTAAATACTACAATGTAAATCAAGTATTGATTCAGCAAGTGTTCTGATGATTTGTCCAGCACAGAATAATTCTGTTCAAATCTACTGAAGGTTATAAAATATTTAATAGTATATAGAGTGCATACTACTGTAGCAATATTAAATATATGTTGTATCTAACAGTAGTGTCCTGTCACTGGCATTTACTCATTCTCAGATGTCTGCTCCAGTGAGAACCTTCCTGAGGTGGAGCTGGTGAGCATGCTGGAAGAACAGCTGCCAGATTACAGGTTACGAGTGGACTCCCTGTGCCTGTATGAACACCAGGGCTGGGCTCAGTCCCCTGCCTGCCACGGCCGCCTGCCCGACGTCGCTGCTCCGGCTCCTCAGCAGGAGTCCCTCCATTACATGAGTGAGTATTTCTGGGCCTAGGATATTTTTTTTTCCCCCCAATTACTGAAGAGAAAGCCATAAATATAAAACTAATATTCTTAATATTATAAAGTGTTCGAATCTGGAAAGATTTGGAGAAGTGGAAAAAAAAGCTAAGTTCAGGGGATGCTCTTGAAGTTCAGCACTGCAGTTCTAAGGACTGACCTAGCCCATGGCTGCCTGGTTGCTACATTTCATGTAGAAGTAAGAGTTTGAAGTGCTGGGGTTAAACCCCCAGCCCTGAGTGAGGGTTGGCATATGGACGATGTCCACAACTAGCCAAGAAAGACCCTCTTGATTGGTTTTCACCCAGGGTGCCCAGCCTTGGGTGGGAGATGATGAGGAGTCACCACCAGGTGCCCATTAACTTGGAGGTGTGGCAAGAAGCCACCTCTATAAGAGCTGACTCTGCTTGCAGTGGGGTTGAGAGGCCTGCTTACACAGTGTGTGTGCTGTGTGGGGATTCTGGTTGTTGAGAGGAGCTCCCTGACTCTTTGTAGCAAGTGCACTTCCCAGTGTGCCAGGGCAAGATCGTGAGTCTCTGTCTGAGAAACTACTCTAGAACTGGAGTGGTGGTCTGGCTGATTCCATCTCCCATGACAGGGCTCCTTGGCCAGCTTGCTCCCTTCTTCACATCCTTTGCAGTGAGTGAGTGCACTGACTTGTTCCTGCCTCCCCTTTTCCAGTGCTTTGGATCTCTGTGTGATGTGGGAGCAGAGGGAGGAGCTTGGCTGCTGGTCTGCCCATTAATGATAATGTTCTATATCAGGCAGTGTCAGCAGAAGAGGGTAGGAATGTGATAGTGAGAAAGAGGTAGGAGCCTAGAATCGATTCATATGAGAGGTAATACAAGAGGTATGGAGTATGCACCAGCTCTGTTTTCAGGAACATTAATGATGCTGTGGTTCTTTTGATGATGTTGGCCCTGATCTGGTAAGGTGTGCTTCCAGCCCACAGAGCCAACCATAGCCTGAGCTGCATCAAAAGAAGCACAGCAAGCAGGTTAGTGGAGGTGATTCTGCCTCTCTACTCCACTCTGGTGAGACCTCACCTGGAGTACTGTGTCCAGCTCTGGAGTCCTCAGCACAAGAAGGACGTGGAGCTGTTGTGAGGGGGTCCAGAGGAGGGCCACAAAAACTGTCAAGTGTGCTGGAACATCTGTCCTATGAGGACAAGCTGAGAGAGCTGGGGTTGTTTAGCCTGGAGAAGAGAAGGCTTCAGGGAGACCTTATTGCAGCCTTTCAGTACTTAAAGAGGGCCTACAAGAAAGATGGGGGACAATCTTTTTAGCAGGGCCTGTTGTGGCAGGACACGGGGTAATGGTTTAAACTAAAAGAGGGGAGATTTAGATGAGAAGTAAGAAATACATTCTGTACAGTGGAGGTGGTGAAACACTGGCACAGGTTGCCCAGAGAGGTGGTGGATGCCCCATCCCTGGAAACATTCAAGGTCAGGTTGGACAGGGCTCTGAGACAAAGATGTCCCAGCTCACTGCAGGGAAGTTGAACTGGGTGACCTTTAAAGGTCTCTTCCAACACAACTGATTCTATGTTTCATGTCTGTTGTGCTTTTGAACTGCTCTCAATAGTTTCTTCTGGAGATAGAAATGATGTGAGTGCCAGATAGGTAAGTACAGGTCACTGTTGATCAATATCTTCCAGCTTTGAAAATACTAAGCAACTTATCCTTAAACCTAGCAGATCATAGAGAAGAAAATGGACAGCTTCCAATCACATGAAGAAACTTTAATAGGTTAAAAATCAAATGTATAGAAGGCTGACAAAAGAACTGAACACTTACCTGTAGCTTCAAGTGTGTTCATGTGAAAAAGAGGAGAAAGCACTGTAAGCATTTCAGAGAAATGAGGAAATCCTGTTTCCTCCACGTATTTGAACTCTTGAAACAAACCTCATGGGAGAGTGAAGTTGGTATTTAAATGCAATCTGTAACCATTACCTCTTCATTGTACGTGCCACCTCTAAAAGGGCTTTTTTGTGTTGTTTGTGCTTCAAGCCTCCACCCAGGCTGTATAGTATATGAGTAGGTAAAAGTAGAATACTACCTCCTCAGAATGCAGTACTCAGCAGTTTAAAGTAAGCTTGTTATCAGCTGAACTTACAGGCTTGGAACTCAGTTTAACTGTGGGAAGCGTTTGAAAAGCCGCTTCATGTTTATTGCTCAGTCTCTGGTAATAATACTGCAAGCATAAAGGATTTTTTTAGTTGAGTGAATACTTTTAAAATTATAACACTTTTTTATTGGAAGCAATAGTGTAGTCAGGGGCTGTGTGCTTGCCTCTAAGTTTTAATTATAAAGTGCAGCCACTCATGTATTATTTAGCTGTCAAGGTACTACAGAAAGCAGAACCTTCAGAAGAAGAGGTGTCTTCCTCTTTCACCCAGTGAGAAGTTCTTTTTAGCTATAGGAAGTGTCCTGTGAAAATAGTAAACTGCTTGTGAGAGGGTTTTTTTTTTTTCAACAGTTGCAATAATTATTTTCTTGACCTCAAAAATGAGCTGTAACAACAACTGACATTAAAGTAAAACGAGCTGTTGAACATAACATACAGAACTAATTCTGTCATTTAAGAGCAGTCATAACTGCTGAGTTGCATAAACTCAAGATAAATGCAGTTTATGTTTCTTGTAGAAAAAGAGATTGAATGTAGTAGTTGTCATACTAATTTTTTTGAGTGTGCTAACTTCCAGAGAGATATTGGGGAGGTCCCCAGACAAATAGAGACATAAGTCAAGATCTAGTTATGATTGTTACTGAGTAGCTTGAGAGATGAAATTGGTATCTTTCTGTTGACTGGAATTGGGAATAAATGTAACAATCATACTCTTGAAGCATAAATTTTGGGATTCTTTTTGTCTATATCTCTCCCTCTCTATCTGTGTACAGAAACATTTTTATAATTTTTTCATAAAGGGAGTGCTGAACTTACAGCCTGAGTGTATTTGAAGGTGACATCCAAGAGGAAAAAAAATAAAGCAATAGTTATTCCACTTGAGCTCCTCCTCTTTTTATGGCTGCTGCTGCCTATTATGTTTATCTAATGATCAGTTCAGTTTCCACTGGCAGTGTTTTCAGTGAGGTGGAAGAATATTTTCTGCTTCAACTGTGGTAGTATAAGAAGCCCTGAACTACTAAACACCTGTTTTTAGAACTACTTTGTATGTGTGAATAAAGGGACATGGCACAACATAACAAGAATATTAACCAAAATGAAGAGTTGCTTGCAGCTTTCACTTGCCAAGGTGAGTGAGGAAAGATTGCACATGTGATTGTGTTCACAAGAGAGAATTATAATGAGCTATGTATAATTTTGATTCTGTACTATGAGAAAATAAGAAAAGATGTATAGACTTAAGTTTCAAAGCTATGAGTTCTGTGAATTCATTTTTATCAGAGTAAATGTATTTGCTTTAGATCTTAGGAACCTACCTATGTAAGTAACCTTGTGTGCATTACTGTAAACCTTTATTAAGGTGACTTATCACTGGGTAGAAGCTTCACTTGAAATCACCTGTTGGGAACAGCTACCCCAGGAGAGCTGGCTATAATAAACTTACCTATGTGCAGTGAATTTTCCAAACAGTAAGCCAGATGAGTTTGGAGTCCCCTTTCAGCAACCAGTATCAGCAAACAACCAATACAGTGAAACTGAGCTCCCAAATGCATATTAGCCAACTGAGAGATAGGTACTTTAAATTTTACTAAGAGTTTCTATTTTTACCCTGCTTAGAAATATAATTGGTAAATGGCACTGATGTAAGTTCAGAGCTCCTGAATACTTCAACAGCACGTGTTGGGTTTTTATGCCTACTGATCAACTCCATAAAAATTATTTGATTTGTTAGTTTGATTTATTTTTCTGTTAAGCTCCAAGAGAAGCAGTTCAGTAAACCTGTTTGTTCTGTGTTCTTTCTGTTCTCCTGTCTTCCAATACTGCAAGAAAGTTTCTTTATATACTAAAATGCAACTTGTTTTTGTTTGAGCATAGCCTTAGTGTTATGTTTTAAAAGGTTAATTATGGATATTGTGTGTGTAAAGGACATACCATAGCTTATATAACACAAATAAAGTTAGTGTGCACTTCAGCTTGGCACTTCACTATCTCATATGTGTATGTGCAGTCCTCAACAAGAAAAACAAAGAAAAACCCTGAGAAAAAATATCACTATATATTCAGAGTACGAGTCAGTTTAAACAAGGTAGAAGAGTCAAGGAAATCTTCAGAAAGAGATTTAGAACAAATCCCTTCTGATCTCATTTTGCAGTGCAGTGATGATGGAATTATTTTCAAAACAGGTTATCTTAGCCCTTCAGTTGAAGCAGATACTCTATATTTGTTACATTTATATTGCTGCCTTCTTTACTTTCATGGTCCTGATTCTATAAAGCAAAAATAGCAAATTTCTCTTGAACTTGGACAAGCACAAGCATCCATCACCTGCAAGTGCAATGTATAATTCTGCTCCTGAAGGGAATCATATTTAAATGGTTCTTTAAATGTTCTAAAAAAGCTTTAATAGTGTAAAAGTATGTTTATACATGGACTTATTTTTTTGGTGATGATGGATGCATACAAAAAAAAATAATCTATTTCCCTGTATTTTAATTCTTTCTCCTCTTTGTTCTTTTTTCTTCCTGTATCTTTCATTTTCCATCACTCTAGCTCTTATTGAACTTCCTTCCTCCTCTTTGTCTGGATCTCACAAATTTGCACAAGGTAATTAAGATTTCTTCTTTACTAGCATCTTCTGTTTCTCATGACAAGAACTAGAGCAGACAAGTGCTTTGTTTTAGCACTGTTTTGTTCAGAGTTGTCACAAATTCTTCATGCTTTGTTTATTCTTGACTCAGTCTTGTTTTTCAAATCCTAGTTGTTCTCAATTTTTTTTTTTTTAGTAGTGTTACAAACTCTTCAAACACAGAAGTCACTTGATTAGACAGGATTTACAGCTACGTTATCCCATGTCTTTTTTACTGTTTCCAAGATGATTGAGCACTGAATAAATGTTTTCATGAATAGTCTCTGGGGTCTCCATACCTCCTGTGTATAGCTCTCAGACACCCTAATGGGAATTTTGTAGCAAGGGTGAAGTCTGCTGGTCTATTCAGCTGTATTTGGATACATTCAAATATACTCTTCCCTTTCTCTCCAGCAGGCTGGACAATTTAGTAGTTTAGCTGTATTCCAAAAGTTGATCTTAAAAGATTTTTCTCCTTTTTCTAAATTAGAAGGTACTGTGAACACCTCAAGCTTTAGCTAATACTGCTGAAAGCTGCAAATGCTCAGTACCTCATTGTATCAGTCTCCCAGATGAGTATTGTTTCACATTTCTGAAGATGTGCTTTCATAGCCTTCACCAGTTTCATCATCAAGTACTGCGTTTGTACAAAAGTTACATCCTTTGAGTTTTAGCTGTCTCCCTTCCCAGCAGTATTATTGTGCTTAATATTTAAGCTACTTCAGTAAGTATGTTTTTCTCTTCTCAGTTCATGGCAAAGGTAATGTGGAGCAGAAAACCTACAGTGATGCTGACATGGTCAAACATCTCTTAGCTGAGGTATGCTCATCTCTGTAACGCTGTGTTAATGTATTTGAAGACATGTATTTGAGGAAGGGTTTTGTTCAGCTGCTGGAGGTTCTGGTTCAGTTCTCTTCAGGAGCTGCTTATCAAACACATGGGTAATAAGAAGCTATCCATTTGGTTGTACCATCTCAGAAACAAAATTTTTAAAAATGTGGGCCCCCATGGAGCCAGCGAGGTGTAAGAAAGAAACAACTTGCTTCTGCTTTCCTCTTGCTCCTTTGCTTATGCTCTCTCATCACTATTCAGGTTAAGCGGGTTGTTCTGGAGAAAGTGTCACTTGAAAGACCACAGGCCTAAGTATATCCAGCTTCTTTGTCTGATTCAGCAGAGCCCATGTAACCTCTGCAGCACTCGGCACAAAGCCCAAAGCTGTGCCCACATTTGGTGCTTTCCTCTTCCCCTGTTACTGCAGATGACTGTGGAAGAGAATGTGCTGTATCCAGTGACAGAGTTATGGATCCGAATCCATATGGATCTGAAGCATTAGTTCTAACAATGTTGATCCAGTTGAGAGTGAAGAGGGATCTCAGAGTGGTGATGCATTAAAACAATAGCTAGGAAAATCTAGACTACTCTGAATTTAAACCTTATCTGATCACAAGTAGACACGTGTTCTTATTTTGTGTGCAGAAAGAGCGGGACCTGGAACTGGCAGCAAGAATTGGACAAGCCCTCCTGAAGCGAAACCATCTGCTGACAGAACAGAATGAAGCATTAGAAGAACAGTTAGGACAAACTCTAGATCGAGTGAGTGACTTTGCCCCTCCCTTTGCCCCCCACCTTGCCCCTTTTTCCCTCCTTTCCTTCCTGTTATTTCATCATGAAAGCAGGTGGTGGTTGCTCTCAGACTACAGAAGTAGACTTAGATGTCATTCTCCAAGTTGTCATTGTACAATCACCTTTATTGGTCCAAGATCTGACTCTGAAGGCTGTGCATTGTAGCTACTGAGAAATTTTGGGAATGTTAGGTGTTACTATGATATATCTACAGCAGCTTTGCATTTTCAAAGTGGTTTGACCATCCGTCTGATACACTCCCATTAAACTAAGGCGAATAATATAAGACAAAATAAGTACTTGGTATCTGACATGACCTCCTACATATCAACTGCACAGATGAGGAAACAGCCAGAAAATGAGCTGGGTTAATGGGGTGCTTACACTAAGAATAACTAAAGAAATAAAATGTCATGAAAACGGAATCCTGCTCAGGATCTTCACTCCATATCTCTCTTTAAGCACTTTAAGCACACATTCTTGATTTAATCTTTTTTTTTTTTTTTCCTTAAAAAAATAATTAATAGTTTGCAAAAGATAAAGTATCCCAAGTGTTTTAACCCTGGTTACCAACCAGGTTATCAACCAGGTAGCAGGGTACCACTGTACATACATCTATATGTACACATATAAATACATGTCTCTCAGCCCTTTTCTCCAGGAAGTCATTCAGAAAAATGGTCATAATCAAAATGATAGTTAGCATGTTAAAATGCAAACATCTATCAAAGCAACTGGAAAATTATTTGGAAGTTATTAAGAATGGAAAACAGAATCTACCTTTTTGTGTTATCTTGAATTTTCAGTCTCCTTTAGAGTTTGAAAATGACAATTTTGTGAACTTCCTGTAAAAGAGAGGACGAATCTTCTGTGCAAATACAAATAAATGGATCATGACCTGTGAGCTCTTTCTCACTCCCATTTTAGACTGGAGCAGTGATGTTCCAAGAGGCTGAACAAATAATACACTGTAATACTGTATAGCTAAGGTATATTTTAGGAGCTGGTGACCTTCCTTTGTCATAGGTTAACCAGCTGCAGCATGAGCTGTCCAAGAAGGATGACCTGCTGCGTGTGGTGTCGATCGCGTCCGAGGAGAGTGAGACAGATTCCAGCTGCTCCACTCCTCTTCGCTTCAACGAGTCCTTCAGTGTGCCCCACGATCTGCTGCTGCTGGATGTCTTGCAGGATAAACTCAGGGAGCTGGAAGAGGAGAACCTTGCTCTCCGATCCAAGGTATATTCCACTTAGCCTGTATGCTGGATAGGAAGGAAAATAGGATGGCTGAAAAATCCAGCATCTGTGTTTCTCTTGAAACGTGTGACTGTTTTGTATCACTGTGTATGGGTCATACATAAACACTTTCCCTCCACCCCCCACATCCTTCTGTTTCCTTCACTGCTCCTCATTATCTCCAGAGTGCTCTAGTGGGCATTCCTCAGTGCCTGTAGCCTTGGTGAGAGTATGGGACTTTATGTTGGCACCTAGCAGAAGTGCCAACAAACAAGTGCAAAAAGGACCCATTAGGTCTTCAGGCTTGTGTGACCTGTTTAATATAAATGACTGGGATTAGTAGTCATATTTTAGGAATGCCATTGTGTTGCCCTGACATTTTTGTCAGCCTATATTCAATATTAAGGGTTAATAAGTGTCTACTTAAATTCTTTTGAAGTCACACTTAGTTTTGACTATGCAGTTGCTCTCTGTATTTTAATTAGTCTGTCTTGTGTATAAAACATGAATACAGGCACTGTGCCATTACAAGGACAGACACTAAATGGCCAGACAAAATAATGGCTATGAAAGTCATGAAACCAACAGCAAATGTTTCAAGAATCAGAATCTACAGGTGCAGTGTCTCTTTTTTGAAGGTGGCAAGTGGAACTTGTCAAATAAGAGACTAGCTAAAAGTGCGTTCTTTTGTTGTTTTTAGAAAAAAGTTTGTAAGTAAGGGGTTTTTTTTTAACTTGGGAGAGTGGTGGTGGTGTTTTTTTTTTATGTGAGCCAAGCCAATATAAGCTTGTTACAGCAGTACAACATAGATTTGATTCCTTTAATGTGAACAAAATACATTCTTCCCCTTGATTTGTCTCAAAAATGTTCAGCCTGTGATGCACATCCTTCCTAAAACTCCCTCAGACCAAATGGATACTTTAATAGTGCTGCAGGAGAAAAAGAGGAGAAGATGAGACTACTTTTATTATGCTCCTAACCCTGTATATGATTACAGAACTTTACAGACCAGGGATTAATTTAGTCTACCTTATTGTGAAAAAAGTGGAGTTGAAAAGTAACTGCTATCATTCTGTGACAAAACATAGCCTTCACTGACTTGAGATAGCCTCAGTCATGCTGAGCCTGTATTGGGTATTTTTTGTTATTGTCAAACTTACTGGCAAACAGTGCTGAATATACAAGACTTATCTGTGCAAAGTTTAATATTATCATCCTAACAACTGAAATGGAAGTGGGAATCTAATATGCCCCGTTGAGATACTCGTCTCTGACCCAGAAAATTTTCGGTCTAAATAGATTATTTAGGGAATATCAAGGAAAAACTGTTTACTGAGAGCTTTTCAGTGCCATAAAAGATTTGTCTAGCAGAATTTTCAGGTTTTCTTTGCCCTAAGAAGTTTAGAAGCAAAATCAGTTGCTTGCTTCTGATTACTATGTTGTTTTACTTTCCATACCACATATTATTGCAACAGTTTTTTATGAGAGGTGAGACATCAAGTTTTGTTTGTGTCTGTGTGTCTTTTCACTCTGAAGACCTATGCAGTTCATGGAAACAGGTTACAGTGGAAAAAATGTTTAGGAGGTATGGTTTCAGAAACAAAAATGTTTAACATTAATATATGTATAGGTAAACTGAAACTGGAATACCAATTAATTTTCTTGAAGGCTTGCCATCTGAAGACTGAAACCATTACATATGAAGAGAAGGAACAGCAGCTGGTCAATGACTGTGTCAAAGAGCTCCGTGAGTATCCAGCCTCTGTCTTGTAATGGCAAAATGTTGTTTGGAATATCTAGTGCCTATAGCTTCTCAGTTATCCCTGGATCAAAAAATGAACATCAGTAATTTCTGGTAATTATGCAAGTCTTGCTCTTTACCCAAGTGCAAAATAATTTCTGTATTTCCTCAGATTTCACTCTGGCACTCAACTTCAGGTATGTGTTCTGTGTTTAGAGAGAGAAAATTAACACAATGTCCACAAACCACCTACACTGAAGCCTACAGACACTGGAAAATCAACAAAATGTACTTTTTGTATAGAGTATTCAGCACACTTGACACTACAATGTACTGGTGCATCCTAAATTACTATATATATATGTGAACACGTTTGTTTATTTTTAATGTAGATTACGAACCAAAGCATTTAAATTGGAAAGAGTTTTAATTTGTCAAGGACAGTTATCCATATTTGCTTTCAGGACCATTTATTTGCAAAGAATTGCAGCTACTCTTATACAAATGCATGTTAAGTATTCTGAAACATTAAGGAACAATCCCTTTTTTATGTGTGGTGATTGTGTAACCTAGTGGTACAATTTTTTTTTTATCTGTAGTCACTTGTGTGCTACTTTCTTTGTGCATAATAGCTTTAGGCTTATATTTTAAGAT